TGGCAACCCACACAACTTCCTTCTTTTGGTTTATTCTTCTTTTTTATCTCAAAGTTGGGGCCTCAGTGTCCTGACTCAGGACAGTTTCCACCTCCTGGAACTGGTGGGGCTTCTGGGGAGGGCTCAGGGTCACCCTTTGGGTGATAGGAGAGGTTGGCGGGGCGGGGGCAGCCCCAAAACCTAGCCTAGACTGTTACTGTTCCTGAGGGAAGGGGCTCCTCTGGGAGGCTTTGTGGCCAGAGTGCTGTGGGCCTGCTTGGGGAGCCTGGACCTACCCAGGGACATAGCATGGCCCCAGGTATAGCCCAACTTCCATACCCAGGGGCCATACGCTGGGACATCTGGGGTAAGTTCTTCTCCCACTGGGCCTTATTTTCCTCATCTGTCCAATGGGGCTAACAGTCCCTGCCTGACCTTCTGCCTGAAGGGGTTGTGAAGGTGAGACCAAGTGTGAAAGGCACCTACTGTGGCCCAGTGCCCCTCCCTAGAGAGGGTGTGCAGAGCCATGTGTGAGTGACAACCTACAGACCTCTGTGACCTCGGTGCTGGTGTGCACATTCCCCAGGAGCAGGAGTGACTGAGGCCTGTGTAGGAGCGGGGGTGTGACTGTGTGGCACTTCAAGGTTTCTCAATGTGGGTGAGGCAGTGCCTTGGGTGTAAGATTACCAGATTTAGCAAATATTTGGGATGTACTTATAGTAAAAATATATTTGTTCCTTCTCTAAAATTCAGCTTTTTTTTTTTTTTTTTTTGGATGGCATCTCACTCTGTTGCCCAGGCTAGAGTGCAGTGGCGTGATCTCGGCTCACTGCCACCTCCCAGGTTCAAATGATTCTCCTGCCTCAGCCTCCCAAGTAGCTGGGACTACAGGCACGTACCACCACGCCTGGCTAATTTTTGTATTTTTAGTAGAGATGGGGTTTCACTATGTTGGCTAGGCTGGTCTTGAACTCTTGACCTCGTGATCTTCCTGCCTCAGCCTCCTAAAGTACTGGGATTACAGGCGTCAGCCACTGCTCCCGGCCCTTTTTTTTTTTTTTTTTAAAGATAAGATCTTGCTCTGTTGCCCAGGCTGGAGTACAGTGGTGCAATCATAGCACATTGCAGCCTTGAAATCTGGGGCTCAAGTGGTCCTCTCTCCTCAACCTCCTAAGTAGCTGGGACCACAGGTGTGCACCACCACACCCAGCTAACTTTTTAATTTTTTGTAGAGATGGGGTCTCCCCAGGCTGGTCTCTAACTTCTGGCCTCAAGTAATCCTCCTGCCTTGGCCTCCCAAATTGCTGGGATTATAGGTGTGAGCCATTGTGTCTGGCCTCAGTTGTTCCATCTAAGTTGGGTGGACTACTAGAATTTCTGTCATGACAATGAGGATGAAGTGAGTAAATCCTGTGGAATGCTTAGCACAGTGTCTGGCACACAGTGAGTGCTCAATAAATGCCACAGCTGCCATCAGTTCTCAGTTCCTGAGCTTCCTTCCCCCAGGTCTGGCATCTGTCTCCGAGGCCTGGCCTCTGTCCTACATCTTTGTTCCTCAATCTGGAGGCAATGATTTCTTTTTCCTGAGTGGGGTTAACCTAGAGCCTGGAGGGTTGAGAGGGAAGAGAGGTAGCTGAAATGACATCTTGTCCCCCTCCCTAACCCTCAATCCAAGCAGAGCTGCAAAAGGCCTGGTGTCAATGGCATTTGCTCCTTGCACCCACACAGCCCCTCCTCAATATCTGACAGCTGCATGCTGGGACAGCAGCGAGGCACAGGGGGTCTGGCCATATCTAGCCAGAGGGCAGCATGGCCCTCCACGTTCCAGGAGCTGGCTCCCAGGACCGCATGAGGACTAGTGTGGGCAGAATTCTCTAGGGGCTCTGTCTGAGAATGGTGCTGAAGGCTCTGCCCTGGGTCAAGGTTCACCCTGGGTTCCAAACCCACACCTGGAACAGGCCTGCAGCAGGCTCAGCTTCCATGGGCACTGCTGTCCGGGGACTCCTGCCAACCACTGCTTCCTGCTGTGAGTTCCTGGTGTCCTGGGTCAGCAGGTATCTCCACAGGCTTCCCGGGGGAAGACTGCCTCTTTCAGCACCTTCTAAATTTAGGGCTTGGGCTCCGTGACTCACTCCTGAGCCTGCTTTGCTCCCCTCCTCCGGGAATGTGCTCCCACGGGATCTGCATCCTCTGCTGCCTCAGACTGATGAAGGCCCCACAATCCTGCAGCAGCCACACACACACCAAGGAGAGCTCCCAGACCCACTGGCTCCAGGCCAGCCCTGGGCTTCTCCCAACCAGGCCCTGTACTCTCCTTCCCTTACCTCTCCACCTTCCCAACCCTCCCTGCAAACCACAGCCCACCCAGGTGGCCACACTGGGGGCTGGCTCCAAGCATGACTATGAGGGTAGTCGGGGGAGGAGAGGAATCAAGCCCTGCCCCCTCCAGCATGGCTGTGGCAGAGCCCTCACCTGAAATCAGGAGGCTTGAGTTCTGGACCAGACTCACGCTTACCTCACTGTGGGGCTCTCGGTGAGTTCTTGGCCTCTCTGGGCTTCTCTTTCCTCCTCTATAAATAAGGAGTTTGAACCAGACTTCCATTAGGGAGACTTGAAACAGAGCCGAAGTGAGCACAGGGCCAGGCCTCCAACTACTAACAAGGTGGGCCGGGGGGTGGTATCTGACGTCAGGCCCTGTCTCCCACCAGGCGCCCCTCTTCCCCCAGCTCCTGCTCCATGAGGGGAAAGGAGGACCAAGAACCTGCTGTTAGCGTTCATGGACTTCTGCCGTGCAAGCAGGAAGCTCATGCACAACCCCACACCTTGAAGAGGCCAGAAAGAGCCCAGGGTCTTATTCTGGTCTGACTCTCCAGAGCTGTAATGTGTAGCTTTGAGTAAAAACCAAATTCACTCTTGGCCTCAGGTTGTGGGGAAGAGAATCATGTGCATGTGCAGGTGTAAACGCTCGAGACGTTTCTCCCCTGCCAGGTTCCCAGAACTGGAGGAGGAGATGGGATCCCCCTCTTGACTTCCAGAAATGCAGGCACCCAGGGCAGGGTGTGGAGGTATCTGGAGATGGTCAGACCTGGGGCTGCTGCTTCTCTGCCCCTGCATGACTCTAGGAGAACCCCATCTGTGGCCTGCCTCAACTTGTGTTCACAAGTAACAACAGTGGCTAACAGTTACTGAATGCTTACCATGGGTCTGGTGCTGGTCTATGCACTTAACAGGTCTTAACTCATTTAATTTATAGGTAAACCTTGAGACAGTCCCAAGGCTTAGCATCCCCACTTTACAGACAATTTGAGGCTCAGAGTGGGACAGGGACTCACCCCGGATCATAGTCTTAAGTCACTGGGAGGGCTGGTTAAAAGCCAGGTCTGAGGACAATCCTGGCTTCTATTTGCTACCCCAAGTTAGTCCTTCTCGGAGCATACATTAGACACTAAAATAAATGTTTGATGAAGATGTTTGACTACTGCCATGTGATGGAAAGATCCCTGTCCTAGTCCAGTTCTACCCCAACTCCTTGTGTGTCCTTAAGAGAGTCCTTTTCTGGCGGGGTGTGGTGGCTCATGCCTGTAATCGCAGCACTCTGGAAAGCCACGAACAGATCACCTGAGGTCAGGAGTTTGAGACCAGCCTGGTCAACATGGTGAAACTGTGTCCCTACTAAAAATACAAAAAATGAGCCAGGCGTGGTGGCGGGCACCTGTAATCCCAGCTACTCAGCAGGCTGAGGCAGGAGAATTGCTCGAACCCAGGAGGCGGAGGTTGCAGTGAGCCAAGATCGCACCCTTGCACTCCAGCCTGGGCAACAAGAGCGAAACTCCGTCTCAAAAACAACAACAACAACAAAACAAAACAAAACACAAAAGAGTCCTTTTCCTTTTCAGCCTCAGTTTCTTGGGCTGAAAAACAGAAATGATAAGTGAAGGCCCAAATAATGAAATGCTTGGAGGTGAATCCAAGAGCTACCTCCAGATAATTCCATCAAATTATCTTGGATATCTTTTTGTTTTTGTTTTTGTTTTGTTTTGTTTTGTTTTGAGACAGAGTTTTGCTCTTGTTGCCCAGGCTGGAGTGCAATGGAACTATCTGGGATTACGACAACCTCTGCCTCCCGGGTTCAAGCGATTCTTCTGCCTCGGCCTCCCAAGTAGTTAGGACTATAGGCATGCGCCACCACGCCTGGCTCATTTTTTTTTTTTTTTTGAGACAGAATCTCCCTCTGCCACCCAGGCTGGAGTGCAGTGGCATGATCTCGGCTCACTGCAAGCTCCGCCTCCCAGGTTCACGCCATTCTCCTGCCTCAGCCTCCTGAGTAGCTGGGACTACAGGCGCCCGCCACCACGCTAATTTTTATTTTTATTTTTATTTTTTTTGTATTTTTAGTAGAGACGGGGTTTCTCCATGTTGGTCAGGCTGATCTCGAACTCCCAACCTCAGGTGATCCGCCCGCATCAGCCTCCCAAAGTGCTGAGATTACAGGCGTGAGCCACCGTGCCTGGCCTACATGGGATATCTTGAAGGATCTTGGATTTATATTTCTACAAATACCTGCCTTTCATAACTTGCCTGGGGAGTCCCAATCTGTAACAAGACCTCAGAGTCTCCCAGCCCTTCCCCCAACCTACCCCCAAAACCTCTAAGAGCAATCTAGAGAGAATCAGCTGCATACAGTCCAGCTCCACCTCTCCAAGGGACAGAGAAAAGTCCCCTTCCCTGGGGGTAGCTGCATGATCCTGCAGGTGCCACCGTGTGCCTAGGTGCCACCTCGCTTCACCTGGCTGGGGAGTGGCTACTACCGCCTCAGCTCAATGTGCATCACTTCCCTTTCTCACCACCCAGGCCAGCCCAGGTATCACCTCCAGCTCCAATGCCCCCAGATGGAGTCACCTGAGTACCCGATTCCTCCTAAGCTCAGAAACAGAGTCCACTGCCTTCCCACTCCTATCCATTCAGAGTCTGCCCCCTTAGTGCTGCCCCCTCATCTGTCACGCCTGGGCTCTTTCCCTTACCTGGGCTACTGTCCTGAGAAGCAGGGTCTGTACAGCTCCAGCAACACTCTCCTCTTCCTCCAGAATTTTCCAGATCCTCCTCAGCTTCCTGCCTCTTGTGGTCATCTCGACACAGCAGGGTCTTCCTCCATCAGGCCAAGGTGGGGGTAGAAGAAGAATTGGGAACAGGGACTCCCCTAGGTTCTCAGGGTACAGTCAATCAATCTAAGCCTGTATCCAACAAAGACACTGACCCCTGGGGTACAAGGAAGGGCTCCAGGCCTAAGGGCAGGAGGATTAGGCTTTAGCTCTTGCTCACAGCCTGCCGAGACCTGGGGCAAGCCCCTGTACCTCTTGGGGCCCTCAGGTTTGCAATCTGCAGAATGAGGAAATGGGTTCCTCAATCTACAATCACCTGACTATAATAATATTTTGCCTTTATATACAGCGTGGGTAAATTCCCGAAAGTAACTAAGCTGTTTTCACCCCTGGATCTCATTTGATCCTCCCAACAGCCTGTTCCCATTTACAAATGAGAAAGCTCAGGTCCCTAAGGGAACAAAATTACCCAGTCACACAGCAAGCTGGAAGCAGAGCCTGGGTGCAGTCCTTGAATCCTGATCCTTCCCTGGCCCTTTACCCTCTATGATGCTGGGACTCTGCCTGACTTCCTCTAACCTGTTATCCCATTTGTAAAAGGGCTGTTGTGAGGACTGAATTAGGAGAGACGATGAAGAGGATCATTCCTTGTGAATCATAAAAGAAAGGGCCACAGAACGACGACTGGACCGTTAGGTTACTATTTATTACGGTTATCTTCACTAAGGCGCCCCCACGTGTCGATCCCGAGACTCTCGGCTTGCGCAGGCGCTCTTTGGTGTTTACAGACGCTGCGAAGCCCCGCGTTTGCGCGTGCGCTTCTCGCCCGGGACCGCCTAGAGGTCCCGGACTAGGGGCGGACTAGGGGAACCTTTGCCTCGCGCCCCCTAGTGGTTGTCGCCGCTGTCACCACGGCTCCCGGGGCCTCTGTCGGCTCCACTTTAGTTGAGACGTCTCCACAGCCCAACAGCGGCGGCGGTCTGAGGACAGGCAGGAGAAAATACGGGCGCTCGGCATCGTCCTTCTCACCGGGGACTCCAGCATCTCAGTTACCGCGTCACCAAGCCCCAGGTGCAGGTTCTGGCATCCATCACTGCAAACTGGAGACCGCGGTGAATTCCACCGGAATGGCACGCGCATTGCCACATGGGAACTGTAGTTCATGGGGCTGGGCTGCTGGAAAAACTACATTTCTCAGGAGTTCAAGAGTCAGGCTGACAGAAAGGGGGCCCGCGGCATGTTGGGAGATGGAGTTTGGGGGTTCGTGCTGGCAAGGAAACAGTTAAGCAACGGAGCCAAGTGTTCTGAGCCTGGGCCTGTGGGTTTGAGTTGGGCAGGAGTTACACAGTAGCTCTTATAAGAGCGGAATAGCATTGTTGTGGCTTTTAGAAAGAATACTACTTATTAGTTGTGTGATCTGAGCGATCAAGACAAATGCCCCTTTATCTTATTTATTTATTTTTTGAGACAATGTCTCTCTCTGTCTCTCAGGCTGGAGTACAGTGGCTCCAGAACTGCTGGCCTCCCGCCTCACCCTCCCGAAGTGCTGGGATTACAGGCATGAGCCATCAGGTCTGGCCAGATGCCCTTTTATCAACTCCGATGGACCTTAAGGTTAAGGTTAAGGAAACAAACGTTGCCTACCTCAGGGCTCAGATGGCATGGCAACTTCTTAAATTTCTACTGCGGCCGGGCGCGGTGGCTCACGCCTGTAATCCCTGCACTTTGGGAGGCCGAGATGGGCGGATCACGAGGTCAGGAGATCGAGACCATCCTGGCTAACACGGTGAAACCCCGTCTCTACTAAAATACAAAAAAAAAAAAAAATTAGCCGGGCGCGGTGGCGGGCGCCTGTAGTCCCAGCTACTCGGGAGGCTTACAAACATTCTTTCCTGATAAGCAACTGCAGACCTCAAGCCAGTTTCAGCAAGCTCACAGAGACTGCACGCAAACTGTGTTTGTGTCCTATAGTTCACCTTTTGGCCGGGCACGGTGGCTCAAGCCTGTAATCCCAGCACTTTGAGAGGCCAAGACGGGCGGATCACTAGGTCAGGAGATCGAGACCATCCTGGCTAACACGGTGAAACCCCGTCTCTACTAAAAAATACAAAAAACTAGCCGGGCGAGGTGGCGGGCGCCTGTAGTCCCAGCTACTCAGGAGGCTGAGACAGGAGAATGGCCCGAACCCGGGAGGCGGAGCTTGCAGTGAGCTGAGATCCGGCCACTGCACTCCAGCCTGGGCGACAGAGCGAGACTCCGTCTCAAAAAAAAAAAAAAAAAAAGAGAGACTGCACGCAAACTGTGTTTGTGTCCTATAGTTCACCTTTTGATGCAAAGAACCAAATTCCACCTAATTTTCACGCAAAAACCCCATCACAAAGTGAACATGGAATGTATGTTACATGTGTTTACCCACTGCTCATGCACTCATATCCCCTCATAAATATGTATAGCTTTCCCCCCAAACCTGCTGAATATGTATGATTATTGTGAAATACAGACCCTATGAGTCATAAAAACCAGCCTGCCCTTTCCCTATACGAAGAGAGAGCACCTTTGGTACATGCAGGAAAGTGTCTCTTCTCAGTTTGCAAACTGATGTCGCTAATGAAACTGCCTTCTACTGTTTAGGCATCCTGGTGTTCTAGAGGGCAGCAGTCTGCACCTCTCACAGGGCTTCCTCTTCCATCACTCCTCAGAGACTGTATTCACAGGGGTCACCTGTGTGTGAGATACTGTTTGTCTTTTTTTGGGAGAGGGCAGGGGCTGTTTATTTGTTTTTGTTTTTTTGAGACAGGGTCTTGTTCTGTCACCCAGGCTGGAGGCAAGACCATTGTTCCCTGCAGCCTGGACCTCCTGGGCTCAATCTATTCTCCCACCTCAACCTCCTGAGTAGCTGTGATTATAGGCACACACCACTACACCTGGCTCATTTTTTTTTTAAATTCTAACTTTAATAATGTTTTGCCTTTTTTTGTTTGTTTGTTTGTTTAGATGGAGTCTCATTCTGTCACCCTGGCTGGAGTGCAGTGGCACGATCTTGGCTCACTGCAACCTCTGCCTCCTGGGTTCAAGCGATTCTTCTACTTCAGCCTCCCAAGTAGCTGAGATTACAGGTGCACACCACCACGCCCAGCTAATTTTTTTTTTTTTTTTTTGAGAGGGAGTCTTGCTCTGTTGCTCAGGCTGAGTGCAGTGTCGTGATCTCAGCTCACTGCAACCTCTGCCTCCCGGGTTCAAGAGATTCTCCCACCTCAGCTTCCTGAGTAGCTGGAATTACAGGCACTCGCCACCACGCCCAGCTTTTTTTTTTTTTTTTTTTTTTTTTGTACTTTTTTAGAGCTGGGGTTTCATGCTGTTGGTCAGGCTGGTCTCGAACTCCTGACCTCATGATCCACCCACCTCGGCCTCCCCAAGTGCTGGGATTACAGGTGTGAGCCACCATGCCTGGCCTAATTTTTGTATTTTTAGTAGAGATGGGGTTTCACCATGGTGGCCAGGCTGGTCTCAAACTCCTGACCTCAGGTGATCCACCTGCCTTGGCCTCCCAAAGTGCTGGGATTACAGGTGTGAGCCACCATGCCCAGCCTAATTTTTTGTAATTTTTGTAGAGACAGGGTTATGCCATGTTGCCCAGGCTGGTCTCAAACTCTTGAGTTCAAGGGATCCTCCTGCCTTGGCTCCCAAAGTGCTGGGATTATAGGCGTGAGCCACCCCACCTGGCCTCAAACTCCTCTTTGGAAAAAAAGTATGGGCCACAGATTCTACCATGGCTGTTGTCTCTTTCCCAGGTTCGTCCTCAACCCTGGCAAAATTAACCTCTAAACTGATAGGGACCTGCCTTGGGTACTTTTTGGTTTACAAAATTGTATTAATAGGCCGGGTGCAGTGGCTCACGCTTGTAATCCCAACACTTTCAGAGGCCAAGGCATGGGGATCTCTTGAGGCCAAGAGTTTGAGACCAGCCTGGCCAACACTGCGAAAACCTGTCTCTACCCAAAATACAAAAATTAGTCAGGCGTGGTGGTGTGCGCCTGTAATCCCAGCTACTTGGGAGGCTGAGGCAGGAGAATCGCTCGAGCCTGGGAGGTGGAGGTTGCAGTGTGTCGAGATTGTGCCACTGCCCTCTGGCCTGGGCAACAGAGCAAGATTCCGTCAAAAAAAAAAAAAAGAAAAAAAGAAAAAAATATATATATGAATAAGAATGAGGCCGGGTGCTGTGGCTCACGCCTGTAATCCCAGCGCTTTGGGAGGCTGAGATGGGCAGGTCACTTGAGGTCAGGAGTTCGAGACCAGCCTGGCCAACATAGCGAAACCCTGTCTCTACTAAAAATACAAAAATTAGCTGGGCGTGGTGGCTCATGCCTGTAGTCCCAGCTACTCAAGGCCGAGGCAGGAGAATCACTTGAACCCGGGAGGCAGAGGTTGCAGTAGCTGAGATTGTGCCATTGTACAGAGTGAAGTACACTGTATAGATGGTGACAGAGCGAAACTCCATCTCAAAAAAAAAAAAAAAAAAAAAAAAAAAGAAAGAAAGAAAAAGAAACTCTGGCCTGAAAGATCTAAGTCACTAAGCGGACAGGGTTTATAATGCAGGTACAGAGATCCAGGTAAGGAAGTTTTGAACACAGTATTCCACATCTATCTTATTTTTTCCAAAGAAACAGGACTGTAGGTCCTGTGGCAGTCCAGAACTGATGCCAGTCCCTTTATACACAGCTCTGCTTTGCTTTGAGCCTATTAAAATATTGCTTCATTTAAATTTCACCTCATCTTTACCCGCTCCCAAGCCCTGTAAAACTGTCTTCCTTTGTGCTTAGTGGGACACTCCTCGGTTTCTCCAGTGTGCTGTCTTATTACAAGGGGACAAGAAACCTGACTTCATCATACCATGGGTTTGTCCCTTAGTGGTCTTGGCTGATCGGGCTAGGACAGCCTGAAATACTGGTGTCCTCCAGGTCTGCGACAGGCCCTCTCTTCACTCTGCACTCTTTTTTGGGATGACCTCATTCACTTCCAACCATATGCTTATAGCCCCCAAACCTCCAGCTCAGGCCTTCCTCCTGCCTCTAGGACATCTCCCTCTGGTCGACTCACAAGTTCCTTAAACTTGGTGTGTTCAAAACTGACTTTTTTTTTTTTTTTACTGACTCTTTGGTTGGAGGGCAGCTACTCCTCACTGGACCAGGTTCCTCTTCACCCACTGCCCATAAACTGTCACATTGAATCGACTGTTTTTCACATAGATCAATATCCTAAAACCTTAGAAAGCTGGGAGGATTTTAGGGTGGGGTAAGGTAGAAACTGGGCCTGATTTGCTCCGCCCCTAATCCCTGTCTCTTGACAAGGGGTTGGGCCTCAAGGTGGAGGCTGCAGAGGAGGTCCCGCCTTTCTACCCCTTCTCCTGAGCTGAGCTCTCATGGTCTCCTACCTTGAAGACCTTCTAGTCAGTTTCCCCACCCCCTCCAGTCTCAATCCCTTCTTATGTCTTGGGAATTTCACAGCCACCTCTCTTCCCAGATCCTGGTGGCTTTCTCCTGGGGTCAGCTGAGATCTCTGAAGAGGGGCAGGCTGTGGCCTGTCTGTGCTGGGAGGGGGAGTACTGTGACAGGAAGCTTCCCTGTGGCTGTGCCTGGTTTTCCTTCTAACACTTTTGAAACCAAACACATTTCAATAAAGGGTCTAACTTCTTTGTGAGGTGATCCTCTTGCCACTTCATCCCAATCTACCTCTGTCACGTCTCATACCAAAGAAATTTGTATTCCTTTTATTCACATAACTTTGACCTGGTTTCTTTTAAAATATTATGGGATCATCCTCCTCTCTCTTGCCCTTTTTTTATTTTGAAATGGAGTTTTGCTCTGTCACCCATGCAGATGCAGTGGCACGATCTGGGCTCATTGTAACCCCAGCCTCCCAGGTACAAGTGATTCTCCTGCCTCAGCCTCACGAGTAGCTGGGATTACAGGCATGCACCGCCATGCCTGGCTAATTTTTTGTATTTTTAGTAGAGACGGGGTTTCACCATGTTGACCCAGCTGGTCTTGAACTCCTGACCTCAAATGATCCACCTGCCTTGGCCTCCCAAAGTACTGGGATTACGGGCATGAACCATTGCGCCTGGCCTCTCTTGCCCATTTCAAAGCATTTTCCACATTAGCCAATATTGAATGATGCTTGATTCTTCTCTTGGAGGGAGGAAAGGTATAATTTCAGTTCACTCCATCCCAAACACTGTTTTCCCTTTAAGGTGTCAACCTAAATAATAGAGAGGCTCTTTAAAAGAAAATGACGTTTATTTGGGAATAGAACATCACAATGGGAATACA